AAGTTGTTCCCTTAATTGGCACTTCTTTACTGGATATGATTAATCTTTCTTTATTATCAGGATATGTACCACAGTCCTTTAAAGTAGCTGTAATTAAACCCCTTCTTAAAAAGTCTACTCTTGACCCAGGGGTTTTAGCCAACTATAGACCGATTTCTAACCTCCCGTTCCTCTCTAAGATTCTGGAGAAAGTAGTCACCAAAGAGTTGTGTGACTTTCTACATAACAATAGTTTATTTGAGGATTTTCAGTCAGGATTTAGAGTTCATCATAGCACAGAGACAGCTCTGGTTAAAGTTAATAATGACCTTCTGACTGCTTCTGACAATGGACTTGTCTCTGTACTTGTATTATTAGATCTTAGTGCTGCATTTGACACCATTGACCATGATATTCTTTTACAGAGACTTGAGCATCAAATTGGCATTAAAGGAACTGCCCTAACCTGGTTTAAGTCATACTTATCAGATCGTTCTCAGTTTGTACATGTTAACGATGAATCCTCCATAAATACTAAAGTTAGTCATGGAGTTCCACAAGGTTCTGTACTTGGACCAATACTATTTACTTTATATATGCTCCCTTTAGGCAACATTATTAGGAATCACTCCATTAACTTTCACTGTTATGCAGATGATAGGCAGTTATATCTATCAATCAAACCCAATGAAATTAATCAATTATCTAAATTACAAACATGTCTTAAGGACATAAAATCCTGGATGACCTGCAATTTTCTGATGTTAAACTCAGAAAAAACCAAAATTCTTGTTCTTGGCCCCAAAAACCTTAGAGACTCATTGTCTAAAGATATAGTCACTCTAGATGGCATTAACTTGGCCTCTAGCACCACTGTCAGGAATCTTGGAGTTATCTTTGATCAGGATTTGTCATTTAACTCCCACATAAAGCAGACCTCTAGGACTGCCTTCTTTCATTTACGTAATATTAGAAAAATTAGACACATACTATCACAGACAGATGCAGAAAAACTAATCCATGCATTTGTTACTTCAAGGCTGGATTACTGCAACTCTTTATTATCAGGTTGCCCCAATAAGTCCATTAAAACGCTCCAATTAATTCAGAACGCTGCAGCACGAGTACTGACAGGAACTAGAAAAAGAGATCACATCTCTCCTGTACTAGCTTCTGTGCATTGGCTCCCTATAAAATGTAGAATTGAATTTAAAATCCTCCTCCTCACCTATAAAGCTCTTCATGGTCAGGCCCCTTCATATCTTAAATAGCTCATAGTACCCTATTACCCCACTAGAACACTACGTTCTCTGAATGCTGGGCTACTTGTGGTTCCTATAGTCTCTAAAAGTAGAACAGGAGCCAGAGCCTTCAGTTACCAAGCTCCTCTCCTGTGGAACCAGCTTCCAGTTGTGGTTCGGGAGGCAGACACCCTCACCACATTCAAGAGTAGGCTTAAGACATTCCTCTTTGATAAAGCTTATAGTTAGGGCTGGATCAGGTGAGTCCTGAACCATCCCTTAGTTATGCTGCTATAGGCCTAGACTATCGGGGGATTTCCCATGGTGCACTGAGCTACTCTCTTCCTCTCTCTTTCTCGTCTCGCAGGTTCTCATGGATCCTGGTGGAGCCTCCTGCCATGGTCCTGCTTGACTGCCATTGCCAATACTGTTGTTGCTGTGCACCTGTCTGTCTGTCTGTCTCTCTCTCTCTCTCTCTCTCTCACCCCAACTGGTCGAGACAGACGACCACCCACCTAGAGCCGGCGGATCTGTCCTAGGTTTCTGCCTTTTAACAGGCAGTTTTTCCTTGCCCTTGTCGCCAAGTGCTTGCTCATGGTGGTACTGTTGGGTCTCTGTAATTAATGTTAAAGAGTTCGGTCTAGACCTGCTCTATTTGAAAAGTGTCCTGAGATAACTTCTGTTATGAATTGGCGCTATACAAATAAAATTGAATTGAATTGAATTAAATATATATCTAAGTTTACATTAGCAAAGGTCCCTGAACTTGGAGAGCCACTGATAACTGTTGATGGCAGTTGGTGATTAATTTTCTCTCTAATAGTAACAATTTTAGTATAGAAGAAGCTCATGAAGTCATTGCTACTTTAGGTTATGGGGATATGTGGCTCAATAGAGCTGTGGCTCTCTGTCAGCCTGGCTACAGTGCTGAAGAGCAACCTAGGGTTATTGTTATTTTCTTGTATTAGTGCTGAGTAATAGGCTCCTCTGGCATTACGGAGGGCCTTTCTATAAGTTTTAAGATTGTCTTGCCAAATTGAGCAATATTCTGATAATTTGGAAGAGCGCCATTTCCTTTCAGATTTCCTAGCTATTTGTTTTAACTGGCGGGTTTGGTGGTTATACCAAGGTGCTAGTCTCCTATGTGTTAATAATTTCCTTTTTATAGGAGCGATAGAGTCTAATGTTGATCGTAGTGAGCCTGCAGCACTATCGACAAGATTATCAATTTCAGAGGGACTAAAGTTTTTATAGGACTCTGTTAAATTCAGACATGGCATTGAATTAAACACTGAAGGAATCTCCTCCTTAAATTTAGCTACAGCACTGTCAGATAGACATCTGCTGTAGGAAGTTTTTTGGATTCATTTAGGCTAACATACTCCTCGTGGGACAACCAGGTCTCAGTAAGACAAAGTAAATCAATATCATAATCTGATATTAATTCATTCACTAAAACAGCTTTAGAGGACAGAGACCTGATATTTAACAGCCCACATTTCATTCTCTTATTTTGTGCTACTGAGGAGTTGGTTTTAATTTTTATTAGATTTTTATGTTGAACTCCTCTTGTTTTTATGTCTTTAAATAATTTAGTTGGTCGGGGGACAGACACAGTCTCTATGGGGTTTTGGGTGGGTGACTGTTCTAAAGAAAGCGCAGAGAAGTGTGTAAGACAGCAGCTCTGCTTCCTGGTCCTAACTCTGGACTGTCAGGTTTTAGAAATAAACTTTGCCATATTTCTAGATAAGAGAGCCGCTCCATCCAAAGTGGGATAGATGCTGTCTCTCCTAATCAGACCAGGTTTTCCCCAAAAAGGCTTCCAGTTATCAATGAAGCCCACATCGTTTTCTGGACACCACCTCGACAGCCGGCGGTGGAATGACGACATGCGGCTATACATGTCATCACTGGTCACATTGGGCAGGGGTCCAGAGAAAACTACGGAGTCCGACATAGTTTTAGCATAGTTACACACCGACTCCACATTAATTTTGGTGACCTCCGATTGGCGTAAACGGGTGTCATTACCGCCGACATGGATAACAGTCTTACTATATTTATGTTTATCTTTACCAAGATGTGTCTGGTAGTGGTAATGCTTACTCGATTTATGTTGTTGAATACTTGCCTATCTGCAAGTATTTGTTGTTGTAGCTAGTGGAGACAGATTGCATTGTTTGCTCTGACTAGGTTCACTATGGCAAGTTCCTGCTGTTGGGTGAAAAGGCGTTGGCGTCCACCCCGAGTAGGTCTTCTAGCCATTCTGTAGAAAAATGCAACCATAAATTGTTATTGTTTGCTTCTTTTTTACAGTACTGTATATACTGTACTTTACTGTATGTATCATACATAGTACTGAAACATCTCAACACGTTATCACGGTATGTTTCACAAAACTACCACTTTTGTTCGAAAAGGAGCATTAGCCACCCTGCAATACAGTACATGTGATACGGTAATGTGATATGGTACAGTACTGTAAATACTCTAGATACAGTCTGAGTAGAGTAGAGAGCTGAAGACCTACCTGTTTTCCAGTCGGAATGTCCTTATTATGGATGAAACTATGAAACGGCTTAGATTAGGGTGGACTCTCTGCCCAGCTTCCCTCATAGTCAGGCCATGGTTTATGACATGGTCCACCAAAGTTGCTCTTATGTCATCCGAAATAATGGTCCTTGCATGGCCTCTTCGACCATGTCCTCCTCTCTCTCTTTGTCTTCATCTTCCTCTGCCTCTAGCTCTCCCTGCCTCCATGCTTGCAAAATTCTCAAAATGGCTTAACTGAGGCCTTTTTGTAGCTGGCTGATTGGTGTTCAGTTTTGTAAGTAAGTATTTTCAGGTGTGTGTCTAAGTATTTTCAATGTAAAAACAAATGTGTTGTATTTTGAATAGATGTGTTTTCCCAATGGTACCCTGAGATCATTTTTGAACTAAGTGTCTTATGTATGAAATAGTGTGTAGTATGCAGGAGCAAGTGTGTTGCAGAAAGGAGCAAGTGTGTTACAGAAATGCAACTAAAGTGCAAAGCAGCGCTTTTGTTTAAGGTATAGTAACAACAACTTCAAGTTATGCTACTTTGGTTTAAGCATGTGTCTATAGTGTTGAAGCAATGGGTAAAAACTGTAACATCATCTGTTGAAGCCATTCTGTCAAGTAATAGTCAGACATCAGAAGTTGAATTTAGAAATAGATTAGATAGATAGAGTTAGATTTCCTATCAGTTACCTGTTGGAGGGACAGTCTCTTTTTTCAAGTGGGGTTGTATAATCGCTGACAGTGAGTCTACCTACAGTAGACGGCACTCTAGAGAGACAGACAAAAATCTGTTTTTGTCATTCCAAAGCAATCACAGGAATCTGGTTGATTTGGAGAGAGCAATATAACTGCTTCAGTTTCCCATCAGAAAGGACTGTCTGAGACTTTAAATATAACGTAAAGCCGAGCCTTTATTAGGTGTCTGTTTTGTTGCTGCCCTCCTCCGCAGCAGTACATCACTGGTACTTCCTGTCTGCTTCTCCTGCAGTCTTCTACAGTAAACACACAGACTGTGGCCCAGCACGTCAAACACCTGGCATCTGTCCAATCAGATTTTTAAGATATATGATTGATTGGAAATGTCCCTGTTGAATGAATATGTTCTTTTTCATCGTTTTCTGTCACTTTGAAGAAGTTTGAAGAATTTCAGTTTGATTGACAGCAGAAAATCACTGAAACTCTTCATCCACTTATTCATCAATTATTCTCCTCCTGCTCCTCCTGCTCCACCACTTCCAGACTTCAGCTATGGCTGACCACAGATCTTCCGTTCAGCTGTCATCCAGTGAGAGAAGTCTTTGTTAGGATGATGCAGTCTGACGTCACTGCAGGTGAGAAGGTGAGTCTGTTTCATTCTTTATTGTTAATTGATTATTAGTTCATCATCAGGTCAGGTCGTGGGGGTAGCAGGTCCAGCAGAGGACCCCAAACTTCCCTTTTCCTGGCCACATTGGCCAACTTTGACTGGGGGATCCTGAGGCGTTCCCAGGCCAGTGTGGAGATATAATCTCTCCACCTGGTCCTCGTTCTGCCCCGAGGCATCCTCACCAGACGCCCAGATTCTCACCCTATCCCTAAGGGAGACGCCAGCCACCCTCCTGAAGAAACTCATTTCGGCTGCTTGTACCCGCAATCTCTTTCTTTCGGTCATGGCCTATCGCTCATGACCATAGGTGAGGGTAGGACCAAAGATCGACCGGTAGATCAAGAGCTTCACCTTTCAGCTCAACTTTCTTTTCATGACAACAATACTGCCCCTGCTGCCCTAATTCTCTGGCAAATTTCAATTCAATTCAATTCAATTCTATTTGTACAGCGCCAATTCATAACAGAAGTTATCTCAGGACACTTTTCAAATAGAGCAGGTCTAGACCGAACTCCTTATAACATTATTTACAGAGACCCAACAATTCCCACCATGAGTAAGCACTTGGCGACGGCGGCAAGGAAAAACTGACTTTTAAGAGGCAGAAACCTAGGACCGACCCCTCGGCTCTAGGTGGGTGGTCCTCTGTCTCGACCAGTTGGGGAGAGAGAGACACAGACAGACAGACAGAGAGAGACAGACAGACAGACCGACAGAGGTGCACAGCAACAACAGTAGCAACAACTACACTAATAGTAGTGACTGATGATGATGAACATGAAGAAGATGATGACGCCGACAGCAACAACGATGGGGGACAATGAGCAGTGATTATAGTAATAAAAGTAACTGTAGTAATAATAATAGTAATATTAAAGCTGCAAGCAGTGATGAACGGGCCTTCGCACTCCACGCAACTCTGGGTGTGCTGTGGCCGCGTCACGTGCCGTCGTAACACGTGCAGACCACAACATGAACATTTCGTGGAAATCACATCATAATCGCATCGCATCGCTTACTTCCTGTTGCCAGTAGGTGGCCCTCTCACTATATCTGAATATTGTCATGTAGACGTGTTCAGGGCCGGACTGTTATTAAACATGTCAAGTTTCATTGAGATTGGACCATGTACACTGAAGTTGTGAGGACGTGTTCAGGGTCGGACTGTTATAGAATATGTGAAGTTTAGTGGAGTATCTGTTTAATGGCCAATTGGCGGAATTTAACACGTCGTCACAGGCATGCGGTTCAACGTACAGTCACAAATAGCACAACTTTTGAACATACTTTGACTGTACTGACCAATTTTGAAGCAGATCCGATGAATTCCCTAGGAGGTCATTCAATTACAACACGAAAAATCACAGAAATAGACAAAAAAATTAAAAATGGTGGACTTTGATGCCACGCCACAGACACACCCTTTAATGTACATGCACAAATAGCACAACTTTTAATCAGCAACATTTTCTAACTGTGCTGACCAATTGTGAAGTAGATCCGATAAATTCTCTAGGAGGAGTTTGTTCAAATACAAGGCGAAAAATTCACCGAAAATGACCACAGAATTGAAAATGGCCAACTTTGACGGCACGCCACAGACACGCCCTTCAACGTACGTGCACAAATAGCACAACTATTAATCAGCAATGCTTTTTGACTGTACTGACCAATTCTGAAGTAAATCCGATTAATTCCCTAGGAGGAGGAGTTCAAATACAAGGCGAAAAATTCAGCGAAAATGACCACGGAAGTCAAAATGGCCAACTTTGACGGTACCCCACAGACAGGCCCTTCAACGTACATGCACAAATAGCACAACTTTTAATTAGCAACATAGTCTGACTGTACTGACCAATTCTGAAGCAGATCCGATGAATTCCGTAGGAGGCGACAGGGCTGCTTTTCTAAAATACTCTAGGGGGCACTACAAACACGATAAACATGATTTTTGGTATGTGAGCTTCTGACACTAGACTACACATGCCGTGTGAATTTCATATTCATAACTATTACGGTCTCCGCACAGTGATTTACCCTGCCACCAGAGCGCCACCTAGTGGCGGACTGTTGACACATTTGTTAGCGAGCCTCAGGGAGCCATGGGCAAGCATCGTACCAAGTTTCATTTTAATCATACGTGCTGATACGGAGATATAAACTTCTTCATTTTAAAGAGCGCCACCTTGTGGCTGCCTGAAATTGTGCACGATGCCTAAGAAAAACATGCGGAACTAAGGACCCAAACTTGGTGTCAATCGATATACCAATGTGGAGAAATGGTCCACTTCCTGTTTTGACGAAAAATCTACAGGAAGTCCTAATTTTATAGCGTGCTTATTTTTTGAAATATCAAAATTCTTCAAATTACTTTTTTGCTAGGCACAATCCCCAGATACTACGTGAAAAATGTTGTGCGAATTGGACAAGGCTTATAGGAGGAACAAGAAAAAGTAGTTCCTGGACATTTCGCACTCTAACAAAAAAAAAATCTAGGCGTAAATGGGCGTGGCCTATATGGGGAGATTCAGTTCCATTCACTGAATGCGTGGATATAAGGTTTTTGAATGTGCGACAAACTATGCAGAAGTTATTAGCCTAAACTCACTTTTCATGATAGTACACTATGGAGCCCTATACAGGACTTCATTCAGGGTCTCCAATAAGGCTGAATACTCTGAACTGCTGTTTGGTGCATAGGCACAAAGAACAGTTGATTATTAGTTATTTATTATTTTCTTTTTCTCTCAGCTATGTGATTCACTGTCTGCAGTGAACAATTTAATTTAATCCAAATCAGTTTTATTTGTATAGCACCAATTCATAACAGACGTTATCTCAGGACACTTTTCAAATAAAGCAGGTCTAGACCGAACTCCTTATAACATTATTTATAGAGACCCAACAATTCCCACCATGAGCAAGACCTTGGAGACAGCAGCAAGGAAAAACTTCACTTTAAGAGAGAGAGAGAGAGAGAGGGGGGCAGAGAGAGATAGAGAGACAGAGAGAGACAGACAGACACAGAGGGAGAGAGAGAGAAACAGAGGGACAGAGAGAGAGAGAGAGAGAGAGAGAGAGAGAGAGAGAGAGAGAACGAATGAATATGTATACAGAAGTCATGTTTAAGGCTTGCTGCTAAACAAACCTCTTGTTTTCGGTCCAAAAATTGGATAAACACCGACTTCTTATGAGGAAAATGTAAAAGGAGTGACCACAATACACCAGAAGAGAGAAAAAGAGGAAAAAGAGGGAGAAAGAAAGAGAAAGAAGGAAAAATGATACAGACAGAGCTCAGAAACAGAGGAGAAAACAAAAAACAAACAAAGAAGAGGACAGGGGAGACAAAAGCAAGTAACAGCAAACTGCTGGACCCTGAAATCAGTAAGTTACCTAACTGAAACACTCAAGTTAATAGCTAACAAGCTAACACTGGACTGTGGTTACCTAGCAATGGCATCAATAACAGCAGTAGTGCTGTTTTAAACACAAAACACAGAACCTTGAAGATCAACAGCTGTATCATGATGTCTACACACTGAAACCATTGAATATCCCCCAGCTATCAAAAGCAAAACTGCAAAAGGAAAATATAAACAAACAATACAAAACAAAAGACCAGAAATCCTATTCCTGGACCATCACAAAGATGGAAGGTCCTGCAATTTAATCTTCTGGACTGATGAACCATTCGCCTGGCTGAATATGTTCAGATCGCATTACCCAGCAATAAAGAGAACAGGTATTTGTAATGGATGGAAAATAAGTGTACTCAAGGTCTTGCTCATGGTGGTACTGTTGGGTCTCTGTAAATAATGTTATAAAGAGTTCGGTCTAGACCTGCATTTGACACCACTGACCATAATATTTTTTTACAGAGACTTCAGCATCAAATTGGCATTAAAGGAACCACACTAAGCTGGTTTAAGTCATATTTATCAGATCGTTCGCAGTTTGTACATGTTAACGATGAATCTTCAATAAATACTACAGTTAGTCATGGAGTTCCACAAGGTTCTGTACTTGGACCAATACTATTTACTTTATATATATAAAGAGTTCGGTCTAGACCTGCTCTATTTGAAAAGTGTCTTGAGATAACTTCTGTTATGAATTGGCGCTATACAAATAAAATTGAATTGAATTGAAAATTGAATTGATCGATTTATTGATGGATTCATTGTAATTAATTACTTATTGACTGAGATTGATTGATTGTGACTGATTGTGATTGTGATTGTGAGTTACAGTATTAGAAACAGTATAGATTATAATTAATTTATTGTAAATATTGTTTTCCTTTATTGTTATTATTATTATCTTTAATTCCAGTTGCTTGCTTTGGCAATATGTACAGTGTTACGTCATGCCAATAAAGCCATTTTGAATTGAATTTTTTTAATTGACAGAGATAAGGACAGAGAGAGAAAGAGACAGAGATAAGGACAGAGAGAGAGACAGAGAGAGAGAGAGAGAGAGAGAGAGAAGGACAGAGAGAAGCACAGAGAGAGAGGGTTAAAGAGAGAATGACAGAGACAGAGAGAGAGAGGGGTAAAGAGAGGACAAAGAAAGGTGTAAACCAACCACAGTAGAAATGACTGATGATATTGATGATAATAGCCAGGAGGCTCCACCAGGATGCATAAGAACCTGCGAGACGAGAAAGCACAAGAACTCCAGGGAAGAAGTGAAGTTAGTAACGTGTCTTAGATAACAATATGATTGTCGTTGTCAGTAGTGAAGATCTGAAATCAGCTAAAATTACCTGAAATATACAAACTAATGTAATTTCTCTTCAGTAGATTCAATTCAATTCAATTTTATTTGTATAGCGCCAATTCATAACAGAAGTTATCTCAGGACACTTTTCAAATAGAGCAGGTCTAGACCGAACTCTTTAACATTAATTACAGAGACCCAACAGTACCACCATGAGCAAGCACTTGGCGACAAGGGCAAGGAAAAACTGCCTG